AGGTCATACCCTCCTATCATTAGTAAATGGTGTATTCCATCATGTTCAAATGATATCATTCCACCATAACCTCTCCTCATAACTGATCTAGTTACATCAGTTGGTTCTAACTCTCTCCATTGAAGACTAACGGTATCCAGTTGTGTAATACTGTTGTGATAGCAATCATTATGGCCACACCTTCCCCCGAAATAATACAACTGATCATTTATTGCAGTACAGCAGCATGCTCTCACTCCTAATGGAGGCGTGCCAGTAGTATCTCTAGTAATCCATTGACCAGTTGAAGGAGTAAAGTGTTGTATATTACTAGTGATCCTCCTCTTCTCTTCACTATCATGTACTTCAGGTAAACCAACCTGATGACCAGCCCACACATACAGTGAATCACCTACTGATACAGTGCGGTGAACAGCTCTTTCCCTCAGTTGATCTATATATCAATGATTGAAAGTACATGATACTGGAATAGTAACATTAGGACTTACTTGTAGACGCCATAGCCCACTAGCTAGCTGGCATTAACCATAGACAGAATAGAGAGAGAACTAAATGAAATCAACAATACCAAATAATAAGAATACGTAGTGGCTTACGGTCCCGTAATCTCATTGTATACAGCTATTTTTACGGCAGGGAATATAGAAATGAAGTGACGTATAAACATGACAATCAGCATCAGTAAGGCAGCAGGATCGTGGTGGTACAGTAGGGAAGGCGCTGGGTTGGATACGGACGGGCACTGGTTCGAATTCAGCTCAGACCATTCTTTTTTTTTTTTTTTTATAATTTTGACTTTAACAAATTGATTTTTTTTTATCTTTCTACTTCGCTATGTTCCCTAATTATGTTAGGAGCCCTAGTTATGTTAGGAGTCCCCTACTTAGCTATTGTTTTTAGGGTTTAGGGTGGCAGTTTTTTTTCTTTAGAGCGTCCCCAGTCATTTTATGAGCCCCCTAGTATGTTAGGAGTCCCCAAGGTTGGTTTAGGGTTTAGTTTTTTTTATTTTAGAGTGTTTCCCAGGTTTTAAAATGAGTAAATCCATAGATAAATCATCCTGCCGTAAAAATAGCCACCCACGGTCGGATTACAGGCCCGTAAAAATCATATGAGGCTTGATTTAAGACCAATGATGTATCCAAACTCTTGAGTTTACTGTCATCATGGTAAACATCAATGGTTAAAAGAGCTATTATTAAGTATGGTAAGGATGATTAAAACATACAAATGGGTAAACAACAGTAACCTCATTGGTAAGCATTGAAACTGTGGCTAACATTAATAAACATAGGTAGCTAAATACATATATACATATGATATACAGTGGTAACATGGGTCAACAGTGTTAACACAAGTAACATAAGTAACAAAGATATACAGTGTTAAACATGGGC